CATAAATTTAATTATTACCTCATTTTAGAAATAAGAAAAACATAAAATGTAAAATTATTTATTTCGAAATATGTGTTTTTTTTTTGTATATTAAATATATATAATACTATAATCACGTACTATTTAAATTAATGAATATTATAGTGAATATCACAACTTTGACAGCGTGACAAATGTGACTAAAAGTTATTTTTGAATGAGCAATATTTTTAGCATCACATTTATCAATGAATGATAAAAGAATAATAAGTAATAACAATTTATGATTCGACTGCAGGACATCATAAAATTGCATTTATATCAACTTAAAATTAAATACATTTTGAGATCAATAAATATCTATCTTAGCCAAATGCGCACTTGTGGCACTCAAAAGTTTAATAAAAGGCCTGTTATTTTTAGCTGAACTAATATATTCTGGAATTTTGTTTCTTTTCCTTTTAACGCTCAGTTATATATTTGTTTTATTTTAACAATAAAAAGTGCAATCTAATTCAGCTGAAAAGAACAGACCTAAAGTTAAACTGTTTTAGGATCGATTCATTGCATATCACCGCCGGTTTCAGACTCAGCACTTCACAGCTATGCACCAATCATGTGAGATATTTAATACGAGTCTCTACTGTTTTGGTGGAAAGGCGCGACAGTATAGAGACGATCATGTTGAATAACATGATCGGCAGGCTCTACGAACTGCTGGCCGAAGACGTGAAATCCACCTTGTTTGACGATTTGGTCAATCTAGATGCAGATTGTAATACTCCTGCCTTATATTGGCTGGCAGCGAAAATGAAGGGTTCCCATCTAAAACATTCAGTGTATAAATTTGATGACTTGCCAAGAGCCTTCCTGAATTTACGAGAACATTCAACTACGCGTAATTGGAAACGCCTTGTGAGACGATGTTTTGATAAATTTCTAATTATTATATTACTTCGAACAAGTTTCGATCGAAATTTTCTTTACATAATAGGTACGGCAAATATCTGCAATGCAGGTAGTGAATTACAGCGATAATAGAGATATTAGCGATGTCTTAGGTAAAATGTGGAATTTCGTGGCAGACGCGATTCCCGAGTGCGAAGGCAAACAGCTCGACGTATTATCCGATTTTTTGGTTGCCATATTCGACGGCACTCGTCTCGATAATCTTCGGGATTATGCCCTTGATTCGGTACAATGAGTTTATCTTATATATAATTGAAATATATTTGAGTCAGTGAAATTAGAGACGCTAGCTGTTGCTTTTTCGTAATGTTTATTGCATATGCTATTTTAGATCCTGATGTCCATTGTGAGTTCATGTACTTGCATGTTATCTTCAATAAAGATCAAGCTCTGCCAATATTTACGACAGAACGTCGAGAATGTCGGTGATTGCGAAGGCCAAAGCATATCTGCTTTGATCAAACTGTTTAGTCGTTTACTGGAGGACGAGAGTCCTTGGGTACGCCAAGAAGCCCTGGAGACTTTTGAATACGTAGGACATACATGCTCGGAACATCTTGTTGCCAGAATAGCAAAAGGTCTGGCCAAGATTCCCACCATCAGCAATGTCATGCAAGCATATCTATCCTGCAAAAGGCTCTATGTACTCGAGGATTTTTCGAACGTGTACGATTATCTCGGGCACGTATCTAAAGCAGCTCAAAGCCATCGCGAGCACATGTGCTACGAACACGAAGTAAGTATGATAAATGATATAAAACGAAATATGGCTTTTATTTATAGAAATGACGTGACCAATGGATTTTTAAGGAATCGGAAAGAGAAAAAAAAATACCGAGATTGGAAGAGGAAAACTCGCAAGATATCGCGCCGATGTTGATGTCACTGGATAAACAAGCGGAGAAGATGTACAAAGGATTAACGGAGGCTTTGGAAGGACGAGCTAATATCAGCGAGACAATCTGTAGAAAACTGATAACTGTCCTAGAGACGATTCTGAATACTTATAAAAAGTGAAATTTCATAGAAATGGTTATCACTTTATCGAAATGATAAATAGAAATATTTTACTAGTGACAAACATTTTTTATCGAAAAGAAATGATAATGATAATTAAAAATTGCCGAGGAACGAATAGAACATAATTAAAAATATTGATAAGAGATAAAAACAGAAGAAAATTGATAAATAAATAGGAAAAAGAATGAAAAGAAATGAATGGTTTTGAAGAGTCTCTTATTATAACCTTGGTGCAAATGTGCATGCATGGGCGTGTGTGCGTGCGTGTGTGTGTTGTATTATTACATCATATCATATATATTTATATATGTATATGTATATGTATCAGTATTATATTTTTGTTAAGGTTATCTAAACTTGAATATCCGCTCAATGCTTGATAATGACTCATTGATCAACGACGTTTATAAAAGAAGCTAAGCACGCTGTAATATATAGTCTGATGCTAACCCGTGTAGTTTCATACATCTATTTGCATTGCAACTTTTTAAAGGATATCAATAGATAAAAGTGCGATCTTTTCATTTATTATCGATGTGCAAAGATTTTATTCGTTCATTAAAAATACATATCTAAAACTTTATACATTCTATTTGGTGAGTACTTTATCACGATATTGAACTATGAACGAACCTACATTTAGGACGGGATACTTGTTTTAATCTGTTATACAACAATTTAATTCAAAATTATAACAAAATAACTCATAATTAACTAAAAATAGATAGTAAAATATATACATATGCATACATATATACACTAGATTCAAACAAATTTTATTTGAACTAAAAAAATAATTTTTTAAAAATACGTTTAAAGATATTATTTATTCTAATCTATTAATAAATTTGTTAAAATAAAGAAAGAATAATGTTGTAATAAATAAATATTTTTTAATGTAAAAAAAGATCTTCATTTGAAAAAAAATATTAATTTGTTTCAAATAATCTATTATATAATAAAAATAAATATTTTTTAATATCAAAGAAATATTTTATAATGTCAAAGAAATATTTTTTAACGCATTGGTAATGTTGCGCGCCGCGTTTAACGTGGGTACGGGGCGGTTTTGCGTCTATCGTTTCACTCGTATAACATTAGAAAAAATTTGCTGTAACTTTTTATCTAACGAATTTTTCACAAAAAAATTTGAGGGAAAGGTGTAAATATATGAAGATGTCGATTACGCATATTCGCGTCATCTGCACCCAAGTAAAGAACCTAAATGACGCATTTATATATCATCCATCATCAATGTGTTAATGTCAACGAAATATTTTCTAATATCAGAGAAATAATTTTTAATATTAAAAAAAATATTTTTTAATAACAAAAAATATTTCTTTGACCAGCTTTAAAAATATTTGTTTAACTAGCAGCTAATTTTTTAAACCAAGTTCCTAATTATCCAACATTTTTGTTTTTTTTTTTTCTTTAGAAGTGAGTGCGAATGGGACCTTGAACTGCTTAGTTTTAATTTAAATTGTAGTTGAAGAATTTACTTATCACTGCTGAGATTCGAGTCTGAGACTTCTGATTCTTGAGACTTTTATCTTATTTATTCTTGAGTCTTTTATCTTATCTACTGCACTAGTATCATTTTGACCGATAGTCGTTTCGTATCCTATATACGAGGGTTGCTACTTATATTTCTGGCCTAATAATGAAAAAACAAATATTTATGATCGAAATTGGTTTTATTGTTTTTCAAAATATTCTAAATGATGATCAATATACTTTTGCATGCGTTTGAACCAATTTTCGAAGTACCAATTTTCCACTTCGATTGAGGTAAGTGCAAAACATATGTTTTGAATGCATCAACCGCTTCTTCGGGTGTCGAAAATCGTTGACCACGTAATTTATTTTTGATGTGCGAGAACAAAAAAAAGTCATTGGGTGCCAAATCAGGGCTGTACGGCGGATGACCCATCAATTCGATGTTTTGGCCAGTCAAAAATTCCTTTGTTTGACTCGATGTGTGAGAGCTCGCATTGTCATGATGAAGTATGATTCGCCTCTTCTTCTGCTTTTCTCGAATTTCTCCGATGACTTCTGGCAAACAAATGGTTGTGTACCATTCAGAATTGACCGTCCTACGGTGCTCTAACGCCGCTATCGCCACGTGACCGGTAATGCCGAAGAAACCATTTGCTTCGATGTGCTTCTTCCGCGAACAACTTTTGTTGGATTTGACTCGTCTTGAAAGACCCATACAGTCGATTACTGTTTTGTTTCGGGCTCATATGCATAGATCCATGATTCGTCACCTGTGTAAATGTTATACACAGCCTTTGATGCACCTTGAACGTATTTTTTCAACATTTCGTTGCATCAATCAACACAAGTCTTCTTTTGAGCGTTTGTCAGATTATGCGGGATCCAACGCGAACAAATTTTTTTTACGGACAAATGTTCATGCAATATCTTATTGATGCTTG